ATAATTTGACATCTCTTTTTTTCTTTTTGAGTTGGAGTCTCACTCTGTCACCCAGACTGGAGTGCAGTGGCACACTCCTGGCCACCCCAGCCTCCACCTGCTGGGCTCCGGGAATCCTCTGCCTCAGCCTTCCAAGTAGCCAGAACTACAGGTGCACACTACCATGCCTGGCTAATTTTTGATTTATTGTAGACACGCAGTCTCGCCAAGTTGCCCAGGTGGGTCTCGAACCCAGGGGCTCAGGCAGTCCACTCGCCTCAGCCTCCCCAAGTGCTGGGATTATAGGCTGAGCCACCGAGCCCGGCCAGTTTAACATCTTAATCTATGACTCACAAACGCACAGTGTTTCCACGGCTTTCACAGAATATTAGCACAGCTGTCCTGTGGAACGGAGCTGAAGATGTTTTGTCGACCCTCTTCTGGGCTCCAGATTTTCAGGGTTTTATTTTAGTCGATTATGCCTGGAAAGCATCAGTCAAGCGAATATTTGTTGCACCCTTAACTGTTTGCTCAGCATGATGGGAGGCGCTGTGGGCACAGCTGTCTTGAGTTGTGGTCCCTGTGCCCGGCAGTATATAATGTCACCGGGACTGTAAGAAAACAACACATTGCTGTATGTAAAGTGCTGTGTAGGAGAGTACAGAGAGCTGGCATAGGCCGAGGAGGCATCTGGATAAAGCGTGGCTCCTTTCCTTGTTACCTCTAATACCTGCTCCTTTCAAGCACGGAAATGTTCCCCAGCCCACTGTGATGATGTAGTCCTCTCTTAGCTGGGGAAGACTCTCAGATACATTCTCAGAGGACATGAGACTGGAGCATTTGGGGCGACATGCTCCCAAGCCTTTATGGTGGGTAGTTGTCCCTGGGTCCGAGTTGGCTTGTTGATGACCAGCGTGCCTTGTGTTTATGAGCCTTGGTTTCCTTTTCTGTAAACAGCAGGTTTAGCGGACAGATCTGAGATTCCTTCCGGTACTGGCGGCTCAGCGTCCACTCCCCGTGAGGAAGCCCCCTGTCCCAGGCTCGCCCCTCTAGGTGTCTCGTGCCATCCATGAGAATGGAGAGGAGGCCTACGCTGGGGACCCTCATGACTTGTGTTGTCTGGAAGTTCTCTGCTCCTGCTGTTCATCTGTTAGCCTCCCCTAACTTCCCACCCGCTCACACACCCGGCACTGCATTCTATTTCTAGAACTAAGTACTGAGGTTCATTTTCCATCTCCTCCCACAGCCTTGATTTTATATAAGAGCATCCAAAGGATTTCTTTATTTCTTCCTTCCTTTCTTTTTTCGTTCCTTTCTTCCTTCCTTCTTTCTTTCTTAGAGATGGGGTCTCACTGTGTTACCCAGGCTGAAGTGCAGTGGTGCGATCATAGCACACTGCAGCTTCAAACTTCTGTGCTCAAATGATCCTCCTGCCTCTGCCTCCTGAGTAGCTGGGACCACAGGTGCACACCACCATACCTGGCTAATTTTTAAATTTTTTTGTAGAGAAGGAGTCTCGCTAGGTTGCCCAGGCTGGCCTCAAATGTCTGGGCTCAAGTGATCCTCCTGGCTCAAACTCCCAAAATGCTGGGATTACAGGTGTAATCCGCTGCGCCTGACTTCATAGGGTTTCTTATATGTTTGAATTTGGAATGTTTTGGCCTTCATTAAAAGATGACATTTCTTGACTAATTTTCTTCCTGGTCCTGGATCTGTCATTCTGCTAATTCATTCCATATTTTCTAGAATATTCATTCTGTATTTGTTATAAGTGACTTGAGTTGATAGACTTACTTTAGAACATAAACCTCAGAATATTTGGATATACTGCCAGCTCCCTTTCCATAGCAGATACCTTCTTCCCCAGAAGGCGAATTTCATCTAATTTTCTACTCCTTAGTTTGGAACCAGATGAAACAAGCTGAACTTTGATTGGCTGTGTTCTGTGATTCTGGTTCTGGCTGATCTGTTTGTAGTGTACTAAAGTTGACAGGTAGCTTAGATCTCTGAGAGATTTCTGTTTCAATTTGCTGAATTGTAGCATGCCCTGGGAGACCCACCCAGTGGGTGTGAACTTCAAGGCCCTTTAAAAACAATGCCGACTTATTGGAGAAGGGCTGGCCTGACTTCTGTGGGATCTTGTGGTTTGGTTCTTCCTGAAATCAAATTGAGTCAGTTCTTCTGTGAAATGATGTTGGCTTCCTAAGATGCTTCTTGAAATCCCACTCCCAAGGCCTCTGGGCTTGGTTTCTTATGAGCGATTACAATTATTACGGTGGTTCTGGAAGCTAAGTCTGGTGGGCTCCTAGGAAGTCTCTTCCCATTTGGGGTGTGGACATTGCAAACTGCCAGTGTGTTCCCATAGATGGTCTCAACACCTGGCAGTTCAGTGCACATGACTCATTAAGCAGAAAAGCTTCTCTGTGCTTCAGTTGCCTGTGTGCCTGATGTGCAGGTTGGAACAGGACTGATGCTCGGGAACTGTGTGTACACATTCGAGCCAGGGTAAGGAAAATGAAGTGAGCCCCCTGGTTTTAGTTTGGTCTTAGAGTTTGCCAGAATCTTGGGCTGAACTTCTGCTCTGTTTTATGTATTGAAGATGCATAAAACAGAGCAGAAGTTCAGTCCGAGATTCTTCCTCAAAAGTTGGGTCCATGAGGTAATGGCGGCACAGAAGTGTTCTCCACTGAATAACAGGAGCAAAGACGGGGGGTAGTTTTTACAGTGGTTTTTGCATACTTGTAAAGTCTTCTGAGGTTGGAAGAAGTAATTTTCTGCTATTTTCCTTGTGTGCCCATTAAGTATTCCAGTCGGCTAATATGAAGTAATCCTTCACCTTGACCTTTTCGATTCTTCCTTCCATAGAATTATACAACTGTTCTTATGGTAATTCAATATAGGGACCAGATAATTCATCCCAGAAGCTGATATGAATAAGGACTTATAAATTGCATCCCACGGTGGGACACCACTTTGTCACCTAACATCGACCAGTTTTTAAATCTTACAAAGCTGCACATAATCCTGAAGTGAGACTGTCTGAAATCAAAAGGCCACAGAGTTGTACAGGCTGCAGATGGACCTGCGTGTGATAACAGAATTGCGTTATTAAGAGGGGGAAGTTATCTTTCGGCCATAAACGACTGTGGTTCTGTTCTTTGCCATGACCTTGGAGCTTTTGCTGAGCCTCTGGTTTTGAGGTCCCGTCTGAATGTTCCAATCTTCCCTCCATGTCAGGCCTGTGTCTCATTAATATCCGGATGTCAGGACCTTGCACTTGGGTTAAGGAACATCCTTTGCTGAATCTCCCTGACCGCACAGTTTTTCTGCATCAGGGGCTGTTGAGAGGCCAGATGGGAGTTGTGAGAGGGAAGGGTGGGCGGCCTGGGTGGGCACTGAGGATGATGGGGTGAGGGGAAAGGTGGACTCGACGTTTTGCATGTTGAGGAGCTGCTGTCGTCGCTCTAGGCTTTTAAGCATGGGAGGGATGTGTGGAAAGCCGTTTTAACAGAGAAAAGTCCCACGGCTATGATTTAGGTGATGGAGAAGGATTGTGAAATCAAGGAGAGTCTGACAAGGCTGGAGGTAACTGAAGCCCAAGGGTAAGGTCGTGAAGTCTGGATGCGAGCATTCCAACCAGGAATAGGAAGAGAAAATTCTGAAGACATTCTACAAAAGGAAATGGCAGCATGTGGTTATAGATCGCTTTCTTCCTAGACACACACATACATACACACAGAGTACCACTCACTATGAGTTAATAGAAATGCTCATAGTAACCCAAGGCATTTTAAGACCCTGAAGTGTTTCTGAAGTATAAATGGTATTTGTCATAAAATTAATGGGAATTTTATATTGTTTTAATTCTTTTAAAATTGGTTAGAATATGTAGTTAAAATCATACCCTATGCTCAGCCGATCCCACAGATTAGGTTCACTGTACTCTCAAGTTGGACTCCTAATTTTGACTACTTTTGAGACAGAGTCTCACTCTGTTGTCCAGGCTGAAGTGCAGTGGCGTGATCAAAGTTCACTGTAGCCTCAAACTCCTGGGCTCAATTGTCCCTCCCACCTCAGCCTCCAAAGTAACTGGGACTAGGCATACGCCACCATGGCTGGCACATTTTTAATTTTTTGTAGAAATTTTTTTAAAGAGATATTTGTTGTAGGAGTTTTGTTTAGTTGAGTAGACCTGTGTCTAACTTCTGGCTTCAAGTGATCCTCCTGCCCCAGTCTCCTGAAGTGCTGGGATTACAGGTATGAGCCACTCACTGCTCCTAACCCTAACTTTGATTTCTTAATGTCGTAAAGAAACCTTTTGTTGCTGCACCCACTGGGCATGTCACATCGAAGAAAAGCATCATGAGGAAGTCTCCTTTACCACGTGCATATGTGCGTGTTGGGTCTTGCCAGTGGGACCCATCAGTCTGAGCCCATCCTGCGGCCTGATGTGTACAGTTCCCGTGATTGAGCATTTTGGACAGGTTGCACCCGTGTTCAGCTGCCTTTTTCCTGCCTTTCTCCCTTTCCCCTGCTGTCTTATGCTTTAGATCCAGCTGGGGAAACTCCTGAAACCGAATGCATTTGGAGGGTGGGGGAGGAAGGGCAGAGCGTTCCAGAAAGCCCATCACTGCTGCCTTTGGCTGTCATCCTGCTACATTCAGAGCTCCAGGGAAGTGTCGGTATGAATGCCCCGTGAACAACGGTCATTCGCCATTGGTGCCATCACCCTGGCAATCTAAAGAAAACAAGCACATCAAGTAAAAGCAAGAATGGAAAAGGCCCTTTCAAGCAAATGGGACATTGCTTGCTCAGTGTGTCCCCCCAAAGGCTGGGGGGTGAGAGCAGGGAGGAGAGCGAGTGTCCTCCAAGGGCCTGTCTGGGACCTGGGTTCTCCAGGCTGTCTCTGAGGCCAGCAGGCTTATTGAAGGAAGGACTGACTCACAGCAAGTTCTTGTCAGGATAGCTCAGAACAGACGATTTTTAAAAAACCCTGCATCAGTATTGACTTTGTCTTACAGTGGTTTGAGTCCAGCCAATGACACTGGAGCCAAAAAGAAGAAAAAGAAACAAAAAAAGAAGAAAGAAAAAGGCAGTGAGATAGATTCAACTCAGGACCCGCCAGTGAAGGTAACAAGGACGCTCTGTTTCCTGTGACTGAGTCACTGCTGGATGAGCGTGTTCTGAGGTGAACGTGTGGGATCAGAGTGGATGTATGTGCCCCACTGGTGTTGCTTCAAGATGGAAGAGTGGGATCCCAGTATCGTCCCCTCATCACCTGAGACCGAGGTGATGAGACTGCTCCCAGTTCTGTAAAAGACACAGCAGGCTAGGCACTGGCTCCCCAGCACAGTACCCTCAGAACCAACAGGTGCATGCTGAGGCCTGCTGTCTGCTGCCATGGAGTCGCTGTGCACAGCACCTTAGCCGGGGGCGGCGGTTCTCAGCCTTACCTTCTCTAAGTCCCCACCACTGTGAGGATGAAAGGCCTCTTCTTAAGGCAGACCTCGTGTACATCTGTAAGCAGTCTCAATGCTGTGGTCATTGTAATGAAACCACGGGTTCCACAGTCAGAGTTCCACTCCTTGAGAACCACTGGCCAAGACTGACACACTGGCATGAAACACAGAAGTGTGGGTAAGGATTGATTTGTTTCTTAAATAAACCAACATGAAACAAAATAAAATCTCATAAGAATTTCTTCACAAAAATTAGAAATAAAAAAGAGACTGCAAACAAATTTTAAAAACCAACATTACAGCTGGGCTCGGTGGCTCAGCCTGTAATCCCAGCACTTTGGGAGGCTGAGGTGAGTGGATTGCCTGAGTCCGCGGGTTCGAGACCCACCTGGGCAACTTGGCGAGACCTCATCTCTACAATAAATCAGAAAATTAGCTGGGCGTGGTAGCGCGCACCTGTAGTTCCAGCTACTTGGACGGCTGAGGCGGAAGGATCGCCAGAGCCCAGCAGGTCGAGGCTGCGGTGGCTGGGAGCAGCCACTGCACTCCAGTCTGGGTGACGGAGTGAGACTTCAACTCAAAAAACAAAAAAAAACCCCAAAAAACCAACATTACAAAAGAAAAGCTTTTTCAGACAAGTGTTTTTTCAAAGTAGGCCTAGGGGAACAATTTAAACTTTTTTTTTTTATTGTTTGAGTCGCCCAGGCTGGAGTGCAGTGGCACGCTCATGGCCACTGCAACCTTGACCTGCTGGGTTCAGGGTATCCTTCTGCCTCAGCCTTCCAAGTAGCTGGAACCTGGAACCACAGGCATGCACTACCATGCCTGGCTAATTTTTTTTTTTTTTTTTTTTTTGTAGAGACAAGGTCTCGCCATATTGCTCAGACTGGTCTTGAGCCCCTGAGCTCTTGCCTCCACCTCCCAAAGTGCTAGAATTGTAGGCATGAGCCTTTGTACCCAGTTTTGTTTTGTTTTGTTTTTAAGAGACAGGGTCTTGCTCTGTTACCCAGGCTAGAGTGTGGTAGAGTGATCATAGCTCACTGCAGCCTCTGGGCTCAAGCAGTCCTCAGCCTCCCAAGTAGCTGGGAATACAGGTGCATGCCACCATGTTCTGCTATTTTTTTTTTTGAATCGGAATCTACTCTGTTGCTCAGGCTGGAGTGCAGTGGCATGATGATGAGGATCACAGTTCATGGCAGCCTCAACCTCTTGGGCTTAGCTAGGACTACATGTATGCACCACCACGCTTGGCTTATTTGTTTATTTTTGTAGAGATGAGGACTTGCTATTTGCCCAGGCTGGTCTTGAACTCCTGGGCTCAAGCAATCTGACTGCCTCGGCCTCCTGCCTCAGCCTCCCAAATTGCTGGGATTACGGGTCTCACTGTGTTGCCCAGGTTGGTCTTGAACTCCTGACCTCAAGTAAGCTTCCCGAGTAGCTGGTATTACAGATATGAGCCACTGTGCCTGGCCTGAAACATTCATAATTCCCCCTTTAGAATTTTAGAATGAGCCAGGTATGGTGGCTCATACCTGTAATCCCAGCACTTTGGAAGGTGGAGGCAAAAGGATTGCCTGAGTTTGGGTTTGAGACCAGTCTGGGCAACTTGGCGAGACCTCATCTATAAAAAATAAAATAAAATAAATTAGATGGGTGTGGTGGCACTCACCTGTGGTTCTAGCTATTTGGAAGGCTGAGGCAGAAGGATCATCTGAGCCTAGCAGGTCGAGGCTGTGGTGGCCGTGAGTGTGCCACTGCCCTCTAGCCTGGGTGACAGAGTGAGACTCGGACTCAAAAAGAAAAAAGAATTTTTGGAAGAAATAATTTATAAGCCTTGCAAGAAATTTGGTCTGATTCCGGTGTTCCACACTTTATTTTATGTCTCAAATGTTATGCTTCAACTTGGGTCTCCTACCTTGTTGAATCATGATTTCAAGGAATTTTTTGACTGTTTCAAATATCAAACCCACTGCAGAGAAAACTGTTGACCACCCTGTTGGCTAGACCCTTGCCAGTACTACATTTAAATTAGTCCCAAACCATTACCATCCCTACAAGGTAGCTGAGGGACTTCCCATTTTACAGATGAGAGAGGTGATCTACTTAAGTCTTTCCATCAGGAATTCTAGCCCAAGCCCATGCTTTGGCTGTAAGGATTTTCGTTTGGTTGTTTGTCTAGGCATGGATGTTTCGATGACTCCCTGGGGATGTGAGACCTAGTCGACATCAAAAGAGTTCACTTTGAAATTATAAATTGTTGACAAAACACCAGAATGCCATGGTTCCTGTTTTCTTCTTTATGAGGGTGATGTTGTTCATTATAGAGAATTTAGTTTCAGAAAATATAGCAAGAGGAAGAAAATTGAAATCACTTATAGTCCTACCTTCTGGAAGTAAACAGTATAAACATGTTGATTTATATTCTTTCTTTTCTTCACAATCTAAGTGAAAAAAATTAGTAAAGTAAAAGTATTAGAAGAAAATACTTATATTTTTATCATCTTAAGCCTGACATAGGACCCAGCAGCCATAAAACAATAATTGACATGTAAAATGTCTTTGAAAAGAGAAACTGGGAAAATACTTGCAATGCAGGTGTCGGGCAATTTAAAATAAATGAGTAGGCAGTTCATAAATAAATAATGTTTAATCAGCGGATGGAAAGATGGTTAAACTCACAGGACAACGAACATTAAAACAATACTGAAGGCTTGGAAAGTCTAGTGGTGAGGGTCTGGGGAAGTGGCTGCTCCTGTCCACAGTCCAGTCAGTGAGCTATTAATCGAAACTCTTTTTAGAGCACAAGTTGATGATACATATTATAACTTCAAATGTGCACATCCTCTGACCCAGTGAGCCTCTTTCTTAAATTATATCCTGCAGAAATATATATCCCAGTGAGCAAAAACACATGTACAAGAAAATTCTTCACAGCCCTGCTTTGTAAAACTGAAGTGCAAAATCGCCAAATGCCTGCAGCAGGGGGCTGGCTGAAGATACTGTGTTCTGTTCATAAAATGGACTTACTTGTTAGCCTGGGCAGGTCTGTGTGTTCTCACCTGGCAGTCTCTAAGCCATAGCGTTAAAAGAGCAGTTTGTCGAATAATATTATACAAGCTAGTTTTCGTTTTTGAGAAGTGTGTGTGCATTTGGAACTCGCATGCAGAAATGTCTGGAACTGTGTTTGCCTCTTCTCACCCTCCCAAGTCACGCCTGCCGATGACAGGATTTATATTTGAGGGATGGGATTGCTGGGTTTTTACTTTCTGTGTGTATTACATATGTCTGCATTTTGGAAATTTTTACACTGAGCATGTGTGACTTTTACCATCAAATAGCACAAGAGGGAACCCCCTTAGGTCCCCTCCCACTGTGAGAGCTTTTCTGTCCTCTCAATAAATCCTGCTTTAAAAAAAAAGACAAAACAGCACAAGACTGATATGGGAAGAAGCCTTAGGGCAGCACCCCCTATCATTCAGCTCCTGGTCAGCTCTCTTTCTCCATTGTTGTTCAGTATATGACCCCTAGGATTAGGACAGAGGACCCTTACCCCTTCTTTGGGTTGCACCCCTTGACTCTTGAACGCATCGTTAATCCAAAGTCTTACCAACAATGGGCCTTTTCTTTCCCCACCTTGTCTTGCCCAGATGAACTCGTTGCCAGCAGAGAGGATCCAGGAAATACAGAAGGCCATTGAGTTGTTCTCCGTGGGCCAGGGACCTGCCAAAACCATGGAGGAGGCCAGCAAACGGAGCTACCAGTTCTGGGACACGCAGCCTGTCCCCAAGCTGGGTACGCGTGTTCTTCCCAGGAGGGGGCAAGGGCTGTTCTCTGGAGGGCTCCACACCAATTTGTGGGGAGGGCAGTAGAGCCCTGGAGTTCCCTGCTGGTGACTTTTAGAGGACAGGAGAGGCTGCTACTCAGAGACCCTATCGTTTCACAGCAGCACGCATGGGAGCAGATAGTCTTCTAGTCCATCGTCACCCAGTGTAACTCTCCAGAGCAGAGCAGTGTGTCGGCACGTGGTGAGGAGTGTCTGCCCAGGAACTGCCTGCCCACCTAGATGTATAGAGGAGCTGTCCTGTTAGTCTGGGCAAATGTTTGATCCTGGAGCAGGCAATCCCCAGCCTCCTTCCTTGTCCCTCAGCAGTGCCAGTCATTTGACATTGTGCTTAGCTGTGGAGGTTCAGCTCCTGGAATGCTGTGCATAGGTTCAGTCAGCACCCCTCCAAGCAGCTATAATGAACTCTTTAGGTGAGGGGACAGACCGAATATCTAAAAGAGTTCCAGCAGGGACTGGACCTAGCAGAGTTTGCGGTCCCTGCTAAGATGAGGCCACAGCAATCACAGCGGCTAATACAAGAGCCCATGGCTGACAGGAAGCTTCTGGAGTGGTTGTGTTGTGATTCTGAACCAGTGGTGGCCCAATTCCTGATTTCTTTTTTTTTTTTTTTGAGTTGGAGTCTTACTCTGTCGCCCAGGCTGGAGTGTAGTGGGACACTCATGGCCACTGCAGCCTCGACCTGCTGGGCTCAGGCGATCCTTCCACCCCTGCCTTCCAAGTAGCTAGAACCACAGGCGCATACCACCATGCCTGGCTAATTTTTTGATTTATTGTAGAGACGATGTCTTGCCAGGCTGGTCTTAAACCCCTGGGCTCAGGCAGTCCTCTTGCCTCTGCCTCCCAAAGTGCTGGGATGACAGGCATGAGCCACCGCACCCAGCCAATCCCTGTGTTCTATGTGACTGGAAGAGCAGTTATTTTGAAAAGACGTGTTCCAACACCAGATGTGCATGACCTTCAGCCTGTGCATGTTACTGCTCCCCTCCAGGAACACAGTGAGGCTTGGCCCGCACATCAAGGGTAGGGCAGGGCTCCTGGAGGGTTGGAGCAGCATGCCTGAGGAGGCTCGTCCCCTGCAAAGGGCGCACTCAGCACAGAGCCTCGCTGCTCCATGGGGCCCTCAGCCTGCAGGATGGCATCGCCCACGAGTATGTGGGATCCAGCAGCTCTTGCCCCAACCCTGCTTCAGAGTCAGAACTTGGAGGGGGTTTACTTCCACTTGGAAAGTTTGAGCAGCTCTGGTGTAGGCCGATGCAGTACTCAAAAGCTTGGTTACAACACGAACGTAAGCTGAGGAGGTCTGTCCCCACGGTGGTGAGAGCACACACTGCCTGGGTGGATGCAACTGCTGCTGATTCCAGAACCGTCTTGTCCCTTGGGCCACCCACAGCCACCACATCCCAGGCCCCCTGACTAAGCCCTCCAGCAAGGCATTAGGTCACGGTATTGGTGTTCCTGGGGCGGGTTTCAGTGGCCAATCCCCTGCCAAGGAAGGAAGGATACAGAAGGCCCACAGTGCTCTGGAATGAAATCCTAGGAGAGCCACTGAGGGGTGGCCGCCATCCAGTCAGTTCCCGCTTTCAGGTGGTGTCTTGAAGTTTGGTGTGGTCTTGTTTTTCACGAGGAGTTTGCGCAAGGGTGACCTTGCCCTGTTTTCCCTGGATGCTGGGACCTGGTGGCAGGTGCGCCAGGTCGAGTGGGCTTCTTTCCTCCTCTGCCAAGCAGCGCTTTGTTGCTGACCTTCATGTCCCCCGTAACTGCAGGAAGTGCCCCTGTGTGGCACTCAGAGCGTGCATGCAAAAGCCACACAGTGGCTCCCAGGCCATAACCCTGTGGGAGGTGGGGGCTTGTTTCTTCTGGTTGTGTGCACCGTGTGCAGGTGACTGGAGACGGGTGGTGCCCAGATCTGACCGGTCTGGCCTTCAGATCTGTGGTCACTGACACCCCAGTCCGGGACTCCGTGTGTCAGTGAGCAGCCTTGTAGGAAGCAGCCCTTACCCGGCATGAGGCCGTCTGCAGGGCCGAGGTATCCCCCAGTCTATGCGGTGTCCTTAGGGTACTGTTGACAGCTGCTTGCCTCCCTTTCCCCTTCTCTGGGGCCTGTGTGGCCAGGTACGCAGTGTTCTAGCACACCCCGCACTTCAGAGACTCTACAATAGACTGTTCCCGCCAGAGACACCTGTGGTCCTCAGGAAGCTTAATGTCACCCCAGGCTCACGCTGCAAGGCTTTCTGTGGAGCAGCTGTGGGAGCCCTAGATGGGGTTCCGGCCCCTTCAGGTCCCACCATTCTGCCTTCTAAGTCCCCCTTCCCACTCCTGTTGAGGGTAGTGTGACCCCTTTTTGCCTCAGCCCAGTGGGTTGGAAACTGGCCACTCAGATGAGCTCTAGAAAACTGTCCAAGGGCGGCTGTGAATGCACTTGGTTTCTGTGGATCCCAGAGGGAAGCTCCCCCTCCTTGTCCTTGTTTGGTTCAACATCTCCCAAATCTCAAACCTCCTTTGTTCTCCTGAGTCCTTCACTGTTGCCCTGCAGTACTTGGTTTTGAGTTTTTGATGTTGGAGGTCAGAAAGAGGATTTGAGGGAGGACTGGACAAAAAAGAAGCCCATTGAAAGTCCAGGGTGAGCCGGGCTCAGTGGCTCAGCCTGTAATCCCGCACCTTGGGAGGTTGAGGTGAGTGGATTGCCTGAGCCTGTGGGTTTGAGACCTGCTTGGGCAACTTGGCAAGACCTCATCTCTACAATAAATAAAAAAACTAGCCGGGTGTGGTAGCACGCGCCTGTAGTTCCAGCTACTTGGAAGGCTGAGGTGGAAGGATCGCCGGAGCCCAGCAGGTCGAGGCTGCGGTGGCTGGGAGTGGCCACTGCACTTT